CTGGGAGAGGGAGGGTCAGTTTTCTCTAAGAGCCGAGCTGTTGGTAAGTCAGCCACACCCCAGCCGAGGGCAAACACATTCAAGAAAATTTGGGCAGCACAAACTGACCTTGATGGGGGTGAGGGTAAGGAAGAATGAAGCATTGGGTGGGAAGGAAAGGGGGACTGAGGGTGAATATGGGAAAAAGGAAATAGAGTTTGAGCTTGCTCTGTTTAGAAAGAAGGCTCTCAGAGGAAACCCCTAAGGAGTCAAGAGGAAAAATGATTACGGGAATCAGACATTAATGGGCAGCCATTTCCACACAAGGGCACAGGTCTGTGCACACATACATGAGCCCACTAAAACCCCCATACCTAACTTTGTGTTCAAGGCAGCAACATTGGGGACTTGTTAGAGGGTGGTTCTTGGGCCTTCCCTGGACCTAGTGAACCAGAGGCAAGGCTGGGTCCAGAAAAGCTGAGTTTCCCGGGTTACAGGTATTTCTGAAGTAAGAATCAGCAAGCTCTACTCTATCTAGCCACCTTTGGCTTTGTGCCACCTCTGCGGAGTGACAGTGTCATGTGGGCTCCAGCTCTGATCTGCAGGCTCAGCGCCTGCGAAAAGCCACTCAGCGCTAATTGCCGCACACCAATTTCCTTTTGTTTCCAAACACTTGGCAGCTGTGCTGCACCCTTCAATCTGCTCCTGGGGCACTCCTCCACTGTCCCTTCTCTTCCCCTGCCCAGGCTCCCCACAGAAGTGATGCGGGCATCCTGCTGGCACTGATCCTCTTTGTGCTCTGAATACTGCAGTAAGATCCAGGAAGTGGCCGTGTTTTAAGACATTGTCGTGTGATACTCACGGGCCAGTTGTCAGCTGCTCAAGGACAGCACTGACAAATTCATTCCAAATGTTGATGTGTTATCTTTAACACTTATACTGCAAATGCAGAAGACCTGCTAATTAAGATACAATAGCATTCCATTTAAATGGCATTTAGAACTACGGTGCAAAGACGAAAAAAGTACATTTCCAGGGACATTAAAATCTTCCATTAGTGTACACGTGTTGTATCTGGAGCAGCAGGCCCCTGGATGGTTGAACACAGATTTCTCTTTTCACTCCCTAATTCATGTCTTTCAGTGCTCCCAGATGACATACAATGACTTCCAAATGAACAATACATACAAACTAAAGTACTGTCATTTCCCTGAGAAATGAAACATTTTATATAAATGGTTATAAAGGATTTATTTATAATGTTAAAAATAATGGTAATTTTGCTACTATTCGGAATCGTACTGTAAAATCGTACTATTATGAATCGTAATGTAAAAATCTGATATGCAGGGTATCTGCTATTCAATCCCCAAAAGGGTGGAGACCCCCAGGCTGAGAACCGCTGGCTTTTACGGTTCACAGTCTGCTGTGTCCATCTGGTTATTTCACCAGCAGGGAAGAACTGCACAGAACAGCCGTGGGCCAAAGATAGAAACACGCTGAGGCCACAGCACACACTGCTGTTCCCCATCAGAGGGGACGCAGGCTGCTCATCTCCACAAAGACACACCAGGCAGCAGTGACCTGCGAGCGGGAGTGAACACTGCCTGTTGTGGTGTCATACTAGTGCCTGTCGTCCTGGCACCCGCAGGTCCTGTCTGTTCAGTGTTCGAAGACACAGACAATGACAGAAAACAGTCTGAGCTACAGACAGTAACAAAAATCAAGCCGAGGTGAGGCAATGGGCTGCCCCTGGGTCATTCTTCAGTATCAAAGGTCAGAAGGAGCTGGCATTCAGGAGGCAATGAAGCTTGTAGGTGGCACCTCAACTCCATTCGAGGTCACTGAGACACACATGTGCGAGTGCGTTTGAATTTCCTCAGCTCATTACGCCAGTTCATGATGTTGGACCAGGAACCTTCATATAAACACTTTTTAAAAACCAAACTTAAAAAAAAAGTGTGGTTTTTTGAGACAGGGTTTCTGTAGCTTTGGAGGCTGTCCTGGAACTCGATCTGTAGAGCAGGCTGGCCTCGACAGAGATCCGCCTGCCTCTGCCTCCCGAGTGCTGAGATTAAAGGTGTGCACCACCACAGCTCGGCTTCATGTAAAGACTACTTAAAAGCAGAAGACCAGAGCTTCCTCATCCTCCATCATCCCTAGCGCCAGTCTGTAGAGACTGCAGTGCTCCCTTCTGTGCTCCCCCCAGTATCAACTCTGTCTCCGTTCTCACCAGATTCCTGCTGCCTCGCCTTTCCCATGCTGCGCCGCTGTGATGTTTTCCTCATCTGCCTACGCTGTCTCCTAGTCAGAAGCAGAGAGGGAGGCACACTGGTACTCTGCCCATGTTCTCCTTTGTATTCACCCGGGATCTGAAGCCCATGAAACGGTGCTGCCCACAATTAGAGTGGCTCTTCACACTTCAGTTACCCCAGACTAGAGACGTCCTCACAGACATGCCCAGAGCTTTGTCCCCTGGGTGATTCTAGATCCTATCAAGTTGTCAGTCACTGGCAATCATCTCCTTGGGTGCCCTGCCCCTCAGAAAGAAGCAATCAAGGCTGTGACTTTGGATGTGGGGCGCACAGAGGCTTGCTGCTTCAAGACAGCAAGCAGTCCTGCGAAACAGCCTCTGTCCTCCAAGAACTTTGTTTCTTGGGTTCTGGACTCAGGTCCACTCTCCCAGGGTCATGCCCCACCAGGACCCCTGGTCACCTCCCTGTGTGGTCTCTAGTCTCCCTGAATTGTCTGAGTGGGTATGCAGAACCTCCGTAACAGAGCAGTGGTTGAATGTGCTGAGTACCAAGTCCCACACGGAGGGCTTTGCTTCCGTGTCACAGAGCCACCCTCATCTGTCTCACAGACCAGGCACCAACATGCAGAGGCCAGGTGCCTCACCCAGTTGCCACGCTGTGGGTGACTTAAGAGCTGGGATCATAAACCCAGACACTCCTCTGACTCTAGAGCCTGTGCTGTCACAGGAATGCTGCTCAGCCAATTATGAGCCCTAATTAGGCTTCATGGTGAGGGTTAGGTGCTTGATTTATTCTCCAGTTTCTCTCCCTCACTAGGAACTCTGCCACCGCGCTCTGTCAGACTCACAGCATCTCTTCTGTTGGGGCTCTCTGGCTGTTGAGATGGCTCAGCGGGTAAGGCACTTGCTGCCAAGCCTGATGAGCTGAGTCCCATCCCTGGGACCCACACAGTGCAAGGAGAGAACGGACTCCTGTAGTCTGTCCTCTGACCTCCATATATGAGCTGTGGCACACACACATCTACATACATACACATATACAATAAATAAGTAAATAGATAAATACATGCAATAACTTGAAAGCAGTAACTAACACAAACAATTCAGTGCTTAGTAATGGAGAAGTTTTAACAATTTACAATAAGTGTAAAATCTATCATTGTCACATAAATATGTTATCTCTCTATCTATCATCTACCTATCTACCCATCTCTCCCTTCTATTAACAAAATTGGAAAGAGAAATTAAGGTCCAAATGAATTTTTAAAGAAATCAAATATAGACTATAACTAAGAATGAGGGTAAGGAATGGAGTAGGCAGATTAAGTACCTCGGTGTCAGCTGGAGGGAAAGATGAACTCTGTTATTCAGTCAGTCATGCTGACTGACAGCCCAGGGCCTCCCACCCAGGGCCAGCACTCCAACAGCTGTAGAAGTTTCAAACTATAAAGTTGCCACTCTGGTTCTCTCAAATGTGTGCACCTGGCACTCTGCTTCATGATGCATCTGCAATGCCCTACTTTCAAGGTTTAGGCTATTCTACATACTCTACATTTCCAATGGAGACTAATGGAAGATTCCACTGGACAACTTCTAAGACTCCGTTTACCAACAAAAAGCCGTCTGGGGCTGCAGGGAGTCAACAGTGACATAGAGAGAGAGAAAGCCCCTTCTCTTGCGTTTCTAACCTGCAGCCATAGAGCTCCTCTCCACTGCTCTCACAAACAGTCGCAGTTCTCAGGGCAGAGACTGCTTTAGTTTTCCTGAGATGTGGGGTCATGTCTCCCAGAGTAGGCCCCACTAAGCATCCGGGGAGGACCTGAGCTTCTGAGCTGTCTACACCTTCCAAGTGCAGGGCTTATAGGTGTGTGCTCCATGCCTGGTTTATGCGGTGCTCGGGATGGAACCCAGAGCCTCAGCTTCCTACATGCCAGACAAGCATGCTACCAACTGTGCTATTACTGTAAATGAGAAATGACACTATCCTTTCTTGTTTTGTTTTGTTTTTGAGACAGGGTTTCTCTGTGTAGTCTTGGCTGTCCTGGAACTTGCTCTGTTCCAGGCTGGCCTTGAAGCCACAGAGATCTGTCTGCCTCTGTGTCCTGAGTACTAGGATTAAAGGTGTACAACACTACTACCTCTTCTCTCTCTCTCTCTCTCTCTCTCTCTCTCTCTCTCTCTCTCTCTCTCTCTCTCCTCTCTCTCTCTCTCCTCTCTCTCTCTCTCTCTCTCTCTTCTGTCTGTCTCTCTCTCTCTCTCTCTCTCTCTCTCTCTCTCTCTCTCTCTCTCTCTCTCTCTCTCTCTCTCTCTCTCTCTCTCTCTCTCTCTCTCTCTCTCTCTCTCTCTCTCTCTCTCTCTCTCTCTCTCTCTCTCTCTCTCTCTCTCTCTCTCTCTCTCTCTCTCTCTCTCTCTCTCTCTCTCTCTCTCTCTCTCTCTCTCTCTCTCTCTCTCTCTCTCTCTCTCTCTCTCTCTCTCTCTCTCTCTCCAGTCCCTTTAACTTTAACCTCTAACCGCCCGTAGCTGTAAACAGTAATACAGTTTCTACTTTGTCTGGAGGCAGAACCTTGCTCTGTTGCCCAGGCTGGCCTTGAGCAGCACCTGGTTGTCAATCACTGACCTTGTATCCTGAACTCTTGCTAGACCTACCCATTGATCCCCCTATTGTTATTTTTTTGTCTTGTTTTTGTTTGGGTTAGTTTTAGTTTTTTTGGTGTCTGCGCGCATTTCCTACATAAAGAATCATGTTATTGAACAAAGGCAGCACTACCTTTTCCTTCCCGGTATCCACATCTTCTATCTTTTCCTATGGCCGATTTTGCCTGGCTGGGCCCTCTAACACACTGCTGAATAGAAGTGGTGCAGAAAGACGCGTGTCCCTCCTTGCTTGATCCAGTCAGAACAGCATTCGCTCTTTCATCATTAATTATGTCTGCAGTTGAATTTTAAAATATGCTCGTTATCAGCTTGAGGGAAGTTCCTCTTTATTCCTAATTTGCTTACATTTTTTATAATCATAATTAAATGTAGAATTGTATCAATTTTCTACATGAATCAAGATAATTATATCATTTTAAATCTTATTTTATTAATGTGGTGGATTGTAGAGATTTATTTTCAAACGTCAAGCCAGTGCTATTGCTCTGGGAAGAACCCCTGGGTCATGGCACATTGTCACTTCTCCATCTTGCTGGATTCGATTTGCTAACATATTAAGAATGTCTGCATCTGATGTTAATCTATGTTGTTCTCTAATTTACTTTTCTTGCATTGTATGTCAGGCCTGGGAAGAAGATTAGCCATCTTCATGAAATGATGGGGTAATGCTTTGTCAGTATTTGGAAAGAATGGTGGAAGCCTGAAACTTTTCCTTCCTTAGAATATACCAGTAAAACTACATGGGACTGAGGCATTGTTTGTAAGATGGTTCTGGTTATAAACTCAGATATTTATGTTTGTGTATGTATGCATTTCCATAATATATATGTATATACACATATATACATATGCTTTAACATACATGTGTGTATGCATATTTTATAACATACACTTTTGACACAGGAATGCATACATACATGTACACGGATCTATCTATGACTTTTGACAAACACAAAGGTTATCTCAGGTCAGTTCAGTAATTTACCAGCTTATCCATTTCAACTAAGGACTCATTAGATGTTCGTATTTATAGGGTCTGTAGCTATTCAGTGTTTTTCCTGGTGGTGCATGGAATTAAACCTGGGGCTTGTGCAGGCTGAGCAGTGCCCTTCCACTGTCTTCATTTTATCAGCCACTGTTGGAAATACTTCCTTATTTAACTTTTGGTTTCTTCTTTGCCATATATTATCTAGAAGTGTACCAGTAAGGGCCTAAAATTTAGGGTTCTTCTGAGTATTTTATTATCATTTTCTAACTTAATCCCATTGTAGCTGGAGAACATACACTTAAGGTTTTTAAAATTTATTGCTAGCTTATATATTTCCAGATTAGATAATTCCATCAGTTTATCTTCAAATTCACATACTCTTCCTTCCTTCCTTTCCAGTCTACTGCTGAATAACTCCAGGGAGTCTGTCATTTCAATTAGTTTTCATCTCTGCAATGTCCATTTTGCTCTTTTATAGTTTTGTATTCTGAGACTGTCCTCTCTGTTCATTCATTTGTCTACTTAAAGTCCTGGAATACATTTTTTGTTGATTGTTGAGATGGTATCCTACTGTGTATCCAAGGCTAGCCTCAAACTCACTATGTAGTCTAGACTAGCCTTGAACTCATTATCCTCTTGCCCCAGCCTCTTGAGTGCTACATATAAAAGTGTTCACCACCATGTCAGGCTAAGCTCTTGAAGACATTTTTAATGGCTGCTTCATGGACCCACCTGCTAATCACAATGTATCTGTCATCTAATGGACAGCTTCTATTAACTTCTTCCTTGTCTTCATTATGGTTCATGTATTCCTATTTCTTCAAATGTCTGGTATTTTATTTATTTATTCTTAATTGTCTGTGTGGGTTTATGCATATGAGTGAAGGTATCTGTGGGAGTCAAAAGGGGGCATTGGATTCCTTGGAGCTCGAGTTAAGGCCACGGTGAGGTGTCCAGTGTTGTTGCTGGGAATTGGCCTGGGTCCTCTACAAGAGCCTTACAGTCTCTTAAGCCCTCAGCAGAACCTCCAGCTCCATGTTGGGCATTGAAAAAATGCCACAGTACATGTTAGTGGAGCCCCTTGATTCTGTGGCTGTCCCTTGAAGACTGGTTTTCACTCCTGTGGGCAGATAACTTGTCTGACTCTTCAAACTGTCACCCGTGCAGTAGACAGAGGCTGAGGCCTTTTCTTTTTCTTTTTGTTTCCAGCAGGAATTGGGGAGGGGGGTGGTACTCATTGGGATCCTACTACAAGTTAGTTAGAGATCAGTCAAGGATTTGAGTAGATTTTATAGGATTCACCCTTTTGAGTCTCCCTCAAGATTTCCATCACCACCCCTGGTGTCTCTGTACACTGAGCTGTCCTCTGTTTCTCTCCTGGGGACGTCAGACATGTGGTCTAAGCTGCCCATGGCCACGCAGAGCTGAGGACATCTACGAATCCAGCCCAACACAAACCATGAAGTCACCTAACACGTGAGAGTTTTGTGAGGGTTTTTGTTGTTGTTGTTGTTGGTTTTTTGTGGCTCAAGCCTTGGTTCTTGAGTGTAAACTTTGCAGGTGACAGTGCCACTTGACAATGTCAAAGGCTGGGCATGCTGGCTAGGCCATTTGGACCAGGGTATGCTCAGGGGCTTCATTTCAGGACTGTATCTTTTCAGCTTTACACTGTCTACTCCGCCTTCATAGCATAGATAGTAATGGTCTAATGAAAGTCTAGCTTCTATTTGAAAGTACCTGCCTTTGTTATATGCCTTGTGACTCTGGGTTCTCGACATCTGTGACTCTGCTCTTGTGGTCAAATGCTTTTTGGTCAAATGCCTAAGTTTTTTTTCTGTGATTACAGTAGCTTTCACAAAAAGGTCTGTTTTCGAGGTGCTGGATGGAGGCTGAAGCAGCCACTGTGTTCTAGACTCTACATGGATTTTTCTGCCTATACAGATGGTGCTGTTTCTGATGTGTCCTTCCTAGAGTGTGGCTGAGTGGTACAGTCTGTCAGGTCCCCTGGGCCCAGCTGAATGAGAGGAGCATCCTCATTTGCTCCGTGTCCCCTGACATAAGACGTTACCAGTGGCTCTGCTTAGCTTGCTGGTCTCTCAGAAGCTCACCCGTTTTAGTTTCTTTCTGAGAACATACAGCTTTGCAACACACAGTTGCAGAGACAGAGAATTGCTTCCCTGTGGTTCCTCATTCTCTCACTGGCCCAGAGTCACTTTGGGCTTTGAGACACTTTGGAACACTCAAACTCAAGCTCCAAGGCCCAGTAAGACTGGGAACCCACTTCTGACCCACGGAGGGGATGACTGAGGTCAACTGAGACTCATCAAAATACTCTTCTCCCTGGGGTCCAGATCCACTGTGTTTCTCCCTTGGTGGTCTTCTGATAACTTACACCAACTTTCAGTAATTTTTCACCTTTAATACCATTGGAGGTGTGTCGGAAAACGATCCAAGAATGGAGTCCTGTGAGGAGACTTCTGAGTGTTTATGAAAAAACTCCAAGAAAACAAGACAAGAGTCTTATGACTTCAGTTTCTTCAAAACATGGACATGCTCTTGGAATTTTTTTGTGCTCCTCCCAGATGTAGTGGATAGGCTTATTTCAGATTATTCATTAGTGCTTGCTGTTGTTATTCAAGTACATGCCTCTATGGAAAACATGTGTTTGTCACATGTGGCAGGTCCTTGTGATTGTACATTTTACGCATGTGAGTTTTTTAGCCCTCAGAGTATAAATTGTCTGATGCTCTGAATAAAGTTGGCTATTTCATGAGACTTTAGCTGACCTTGTTTATTGGCTACATCCTGCCAGGTCCCACCTCTAGACTACTAAAAAGAGGTGGAATTAAATGGCCTGTCAACTTCATTATAACCATAGCAGCTTCCCAGAGCACAGCCATGCATAGAGGTCACCACAGCACAGTGTAGGCATCTTCCTTGGAAGGCAGTCTCAGCAAGGAAATTAATTTGATGGCAAAACAGTGATCCATCTGTCCATCTGTCTGTCCATGTGCCTGTGCACTTATGCCATGATGTGCATGAAAGTCCAAAGAAAACATGTAGTAGTAGGTGCTCTCCTTCCAGTGTGTGGGGTCCTGGGGATTGAACTCAGATCACCAGGTTTGGTACAAAGTGCCTTTACCTGCTGAGCCTCTTGGCAGTCTTAAGACTTAGCTTTACTACCTTAAGGCTATTCAATGCCAACATGTTTCAAACAGAGTAAACTTTGACACCTCTTTTTCAAAGAGGATCTTTTTATCATTCACCACCGAAACCAAGGTCAGTTCATTTAGCCCTGCCCTGCCCCATTCTTCTTATTCCTGCATATTTTTACATGCTGGCTTCCATTACTTTGTTTATATTCCTTTTTGATTTTCATTTGAAGCTGTTTAAAAGATTTATGCTGAAATCTTTGAATTTATATGAGTTGGTAAGCGTGATCATACAGAAGCACCAACAAAACCACCACTGGTTTAAAATTCATGTGCAAACAAACTATTCTTTCACTAATTAACTTTGAAAAAGAAAGCCTAATTTCATAATACAAGATTTAATCACTGACAGCCAAGAGTCAGGCTTGATTCTCTATCGCACAATCTAAATAATAGCACGGCCCATTTCACTCTGCTTTGTTTTATATAGGGGCTCATTATGCAGCCCTGCTCACCTTGAACTCAGTCTTCTTCCTCTGCTGAAGAGTGCTGGGATGACAGGTACATCTTGCTATGCCCAGCCCCTTCCTTGATGTTTTATAAAGACAGAGAAAGAACATGGTTACCTGCCCCTTTGGTGCAAATACTATAGTGCCTTAAAGAAAGCATACACAGCTGTGTACATATGTGCCTACACACAAAACAAACCACTTCTCTTGCACACAATCATGAGTTACCTACATGTTTAACTGGAAGCCTCAGTGAATGCCAGTAATGTCTAATTTGGTTTATATAGAGATTATTTATAATGAATGTTAATATATTCAACCAAGTACTTGCCTAAAGTATCTACTACTCATTTGCTAAAAAGGACACATGACCAGCCAAGAAGGCCTTCAGTGGTGTGTACATCCTGACAGAATTGGTGAAGAGTGAGCAGAGGAGACAAGAGAAGGGGAGAAGGCAGATGAGTCACAGAATACCACTGCAGAGCATTTTCACTCGCATTATTGCTTGTTTTGGGGTACACTCACCCCGCATGGCTAAGGGCTTGAGGCTCACATCTTTCATATCTTCCATCCAGCAGAGTCTGGATTTTTTAGGTGTCTGGAGGGCCTTACTGGATCTGGGCTCCTTCTCTGGGGTGTCAGTTTTGAACGAGGGTGAGACGTACAGTGTTTCCACCGAGGACCGGTTGGGGAACACGGATGCTGACTTGGACATCCTCAAACCCAGGCTGTTGAACTCGTCTTTACCTGGTGGCCTAAATGCCTGCAAAGGTGTCAGTGTTTCAAAGCTTTTTGTGGCTGTCTGCTTTTCCTGAGGCGTTTGTGGGGGACTTTCTGTGAGAGCATTTGTGATGGTTTTCTCCAGTCTCTTGCCTAAACTCATATTTGTCTGCATTGATGGTCTTTTTTCTGAAGGAGTAGACACAGCATCTGTAAAATAGCAAGTAGCCCAAATTAAAACTGAAACATTCCATTTAAAATCCATTTTAATAAATAGGATCTTTCTTATTTAGTCTTTTGCTTTCCTACTAGGCTGGTATATTCTATTTCAAGTACCTTCGAGCTATAACTGATGCCTTAGTCATTTGGTGACTGCCTTCTCCCTCTCTCAGAGGCACTAAAACACAAGGCACAGACAATTTCAAATAACTTCCCTTTAAATATTTCTCCCTCCACTCACTGATCTGTCTCTGAGCCACTATATTTTTAGTGCCTTCAAACCTGTATCCTTTATAAGATAAACTAGACAAAATATGCATCACTCTATCCTTATGGAACCCTTAATCTCTCCTAGAATGAAAGCTGTCTTCTCCCAGGAGGCACATTCAGGAGTACCCTAGGGCCAGCATCATTTTAATGAATCTTTTGTCAATGTGAAGGACAACACATTTTTTTTTGCAGAGCTGTTCTGATGGTTATTACAGTGAAAACTTTTGGTTCATCTTGTCACTAAATAGCCACTAATACACCAAAGCACCAGGAGATCCTGGGACAGGTCAGGGATCATGAACAGAAGGGGCTGAGGCAGTGTAAGAAACCAAAACCTCAGGTGAAGCTGGGTTGGGACTACTGCCTGGACCCACATATTTGGACTGAATTTCTAGATGGGACTGGATCCCAACCCTCAATGTGAGGGACTGTTCTCAGAGAATCTCATCCTAGCCTGGATATGGAAAGAAGAAATTGTTCCTTAAGAGATTGGGTTCTTGAAATTAGAGTCAAACACAGTGAAAGGGGTGTGTGTGTTCTCTGGCACTTCACTAGGGAGGAGGGTGTGGAGCCTGTGGAGTTCACTGTTAGGTGATTGCACACATTACAAAGTACATGTATGACACTTCACAGTGCACACAGACACAAGCTCTCAGCAGCTCCAAGGCTGGAGAAGAACTTCTGCTGTTTACCCACAACTATGAAGGTTAAGAACTTTATATTGGTTGCCTCAGTATTGCGATGTGGCTGGCTAGTTGAGGTTTGTGTGTGGTCACTCAGTAAAGATGCCTGAGGAAACCAAGACCCAAGACCAATTTTAGTTTTCCAGTTAATGACATGGATCATCAATATTTTCTATTTGAATGAAGAGATCTTTCTGAGGGACCTCATTTCAAATTCATTAGATGCTCTGGCTAAGATAAGAGATGAGAGTTTGACAGATCCTAATACACTATTCTGGGAAGGAGCTGCACATTAATCTCATTCCCAACAAACAAGATCAAACTGATAATACTAGAACTGGAATGGCCAAGGCTGACTTGATTATTGACCGTGACACTACTGCCCAGTCTGGCACCAAAGCCCTCATGGAGGCCTTGCAGATTGGCGCAGATATCTTTATGACTGGTCAGTTTGGTGTTGCTGTTAACTCTGTGTATCTGGTTGCTGGGAAAGTGACTGTGATCACCAAGCATGACGATGAGTCGTATGCCTGGGAGTCTTCAGCGGGCCGTCATTCCAGTGAGAACTGACACAATGAACCAATGGGCCGGGGAACAAAGGTCACCTTACATCTGAAGGAGGACTAAGCTGAGTATTGGAGGGAAGGAGAATGGAGGAAGTTGTGAGGAAGCACACTCAGCTCACTGGCTACTCTATTACTCTCGGAAGTCAGTGATGATGAGGCTGAAGAAAAAGTAGATAGAGAGGAAGAGAAAGAAAGAGAAGAAAAGGGATCCGATGTCAAAAGAAGATGCTGTTTCCAGTGAAGAAGAAAAGGATAGTGACGAGAAGAGGGAGGTTAAGGAAGAATTCATGGACCAACAAGAACTAAACTAAATGAAGCCTATTTGGTTACATAGAAATTATTCAGAACCAATGTTAATATATTCAATCAAGAACTTGCCTGAATTATCTGCTACTCATTTACTAAAAGGTCCCATGACCAGCTAAGGAGACCTTCAGTGGTGTATACATCCTGACAGAACTGGTGAAGAGTGAGCGTGGTAAGGAAGTCCCGGTGGGTGACACTGCTATGGAGACTATGGAGACTCTGAATTTCATTAGAGGGGCAGTGGATCCCAAGAAATGGTGCAGTAAAGCAAAAAATTGGAAGCTATCAGAAAGAGTAAGGTCAAGAAATGCTTGAACTATCCACCGAACTGGCAGAAGATGAAGAGAACTACAAAAAGTTTTATGAGCAGTTCTCAAAAAATATAAAGATCAGAGTCCATGAAGACTCTCAAAATTGGAAGAAGCTGTCGGAGATGTTGTGATGCCACACCACTTCTTCTCGGGACAAGGTGACTTCTTTCAAGGACTACTGCATCAGAACGAAGGAAAACCAGAAGCACATCCATTTTTATCGCAGCTGAAATCAAGGCCCAAGTAGCTAACTCAGTCTTTGTGGAATGTTTCTGACAGCATGACTTAAAAGTGATCTGTACAACTGAGCCCATCAATAATACAGCGTGTCACAGCTGAAGGAATCTGAGGGTAAGACCTTTGTACCAACTACCAAAGAAGGACTGGAACTTCCAGAAGAGAAAAGGAAAACAGGAGGAGACAGACAGTTTGAAAACATATACAAAATTATAAAAGACGTCGTAGAGGGAAAGGTTGAAAAGGTCAAAGTGATTGGTGAAATCTGAATGTGGTATTGTCACAGTACTTACGGGTGAACATCAAACACAGAGAGAATCATGAGCTCAGGCCCCCAAAGACAACTCAATGATAGGTGACACAGCAGCAGAGAAACACGTGGAGATAAACCCTGACCACTCCATTCTGAAACCTTAAGGCAAAAGGCAGCAGCTGACAAGAATGACAAGTTTGTGAAGGGTCAGTCTAGAAGATCCCCAGGTACAAGCTAACAGGATCTACAGGATGGTCAAGCTTGGTCTAGGAAATGATGAAGAGCATTCCACTTTGGGTGATACCAGTGCTGCTGTAACTGAGGGAAATGTCACCCCTCGAAGGGGATGGTGACACATCGCTCATGGAAGAAGCTTCTCGAGAACACATGCTCAGTGCTTCCTTCATTCCTTCTGATGATACAGTTCGAAGGATTTGGGTAACATTTAAAGTATCTGTGCAGCATGAAAACTAAGGGAAAGATAAAATATCTCTTTGCTTCTTAGACTGTTGTACTGTAGGCTTGTTTCGACAGGTTGGGAGAACAGTTGTTGCAAGCGATCCGAACTATTAAGTCATGGAGCTGGATTCCTTAGTAGACCAAATCACCTGTCACTCAAGTGTCCTGTGATATAGCTTCATGTGTAAAAGGGAAAAAAACTGTTAAGATGCCTTGAGTGTCAATCTCTGGAATCTACTTTGTAAGTTTTTCATCCCTGTAGTTAACTCTTAGAGGTAAGAACGCAAGCCGAAACAATTTAATAAGTCTCGTGTGGCTTGTTTTCCAAAGTGAAGTACCAAGAACAAAGCCCTAAGCTTCTCTAGGTCTTGTAACTCACCACGACTTGTGAATGAAGTATAGTACCCAGTCACACTCTGATTTAAAAGGTAAATACAGACCAACAGCCCCCGAAGCTCCACCCATAACCTGTAGAAAACTAAACTTCTCTGAAACCATTTATGTAGGCAAAATCGGCCACCCAAAGAAACACACCGTGAACAGAGCCAAAGAAACATACTTTGGCCCTAAAACCAGAGCCAAATCTGATCCTAACTCTGTGCAGAAAACCAATCAATTCTCGAGCAAGAGCTCTAGCCAATGGGAGCTCAGCATTGAAATCTGACCAATCCCCACCATGAAAGCCTTATATAAACCCTGTGTCTGTTCAGCTTGTGGCTGTTCGTGCTACCCGGCTGTCCTCTGCCACTTTCCTGGATTCTTCTCTCCCAATAAACCCCTTGGATGAATTTTGGGTGAAGATCTTCTTTTGTAGCAGCGGCGGAGCAGAGGCAACCCTGGGCAGAGCAGAGCGAGCAGGGCTGTAACACTTTTGCCAGGGAAACCTTCCCCTGACAGAGCGGAGTTGTCGGCTCTTCACTCTGGGGAAGCAGAGCTGAACTGTAGCAACTTCGCTAGGGAAACCTCCTGCTGGAGCAAAACTGCTACACTTGGCAAACATCCCCAGCTGGAAGACCCTCTCCTCCTGCTGGAGCAGAGCTATACACTGGGGAAGCCTTTTCTTGAGGCAGGGCTGTAAGCTGATATGCTTACTGTGGCCTGTGGTAGTCCTTGGCTCCCGAGCTCCAGGATACCTTTCTACCTGATCTGTGGAACATTCAGTATTTTGTGGCTCCTGAGTGCCAGAATACCTGTCCATCCTGATGCGCCCGAAATGCCTATAATCTACCCATCTCCTTCCAATCATTAAAGATCAGTTACTGATTCTGGTTTATGTGTTTTAAGATTTTCAGTTTTTCATAAAAGGTAGTTTGCTATGTTAAAGGACTACTAAAAGCCGTAACTGATACCTACACTCCTCCCCATCACCTACTGCTTCCTTGAACTGCTTTTCTTTAAATAGGAATTTGCAAAAATGTGTTTTCTGAGTGAGAATGTTATGTCAGATACAAGGGAGTTTTGTTTTGGCTTGTTTGTTTGTTTGCTGTTGTTTTAGAAGTAAGATCCTGATCATGACTAATTCTTTTCATAAACAAAAGGTAAATACAGAGTAGATACATACAGAGAAAGAAGAAATTTATTTTGCTTTCCACCAGGAATCACACTTTTTATAGCCGTCATATCTTTTCACTTTTAATTTTGGGGTTTTAAGGCAATGTCTCACTCTGTAGTTGGGGTTGGCCAGGAATTCAGGATTCTCTTGCCTCTGTCTCTGGAGTCCCAGCTTTCTACTGCTGTATGTGGGTGGCTTCTATCTCTGAAAACTAAACCCAATACCGCTTTCTCGATAATGCCTGCCCTGGCCCTTCTGTCTGTGCCTTGTTGTACTACGGCCTCTGCTACCAAATTCTGGAGCCTGACGAGCAACTGTAATGCTCATTAAGTCAAGTCTTGTCCCAGGATGGTA